CGTACATGTAAACCCCGCTACAGCCTTTAAACTCTTATATAATCTAGCTAGCTAGACAGGAAGCCAGAGGCCTCCCCCCCTGGCGTCTTTTGCCCCAACGGGGACTGAAGGGCACGTGACTTGCGTACGTGCCCGCCTAGACGTTAAATAGACACACACACACACACACAGCCCAAACGATCCCTATTTGCTATAAGTCTATAGATGTACTCGACCTGTCAGAACGCCGCCTGGTCTTCACTAATCACGTGTGCACGTGACTCGTGACACTCAGCCGTTAGCTTAATAAAGAGTCGTGGGCGGAGGTTATTATGATCTCGGATGAGAGTTAATTTAAGGTGTCTATACTAAAGTTAGAGCAGAGCCTCTAGGCGGTTACCGGTAATGCCCGCAAGCTGGCAAAAGAGGATTAACTAGATCCGAAGCTAGCTAAGCTTAAAAGTCATCTCCCTTGTAGTTAGAAGCACGCGGGTAAATTCGGCCAGATCCTCGACATATATTATAGCACTCTCCTACTTTATGTTATCAAGCTCCTTTTTAATGGTAACAACCTTAAGAACCTAAGATCTATTAGCAGGAGACCCTACTACAAGAGGGTAGTGCCAGAGGCTACCGGGCATCTTATATCTTGACCTTGTACTTGAACCATGCTATCGATCTTCTTACTAGTCTCGAGCCTATATACTATAAGGTACTACTTCTAGAATATCTGTAGCAAGCTTATATACTTAATTCCGAGCCGCCTCTGTCCCCCTTTCCCCTGTCGTTGGTCGTGTACCCAGCATAGGAAGCTATAGAGAAAGTTAGCCGAGACTTCTTAAAAGTACTAGATAGGGTATTATCTAATAAAGGTATAGTATCTAAAAGCAAAGTAACATCAGCGGAATTTTCTCTACAGAGTGGATCTACATTTAGCTCATACCGATCATGATGGTCCTTGACCTAGTTAAGACGACCTTGCGTCTTAGGGCTGTAACGCTTCTGCTGGAGTCGTCCTACATCGAGATTGGCCGATGCCGCAAGGTAGTATTCAGGCGGGTGTCGTACTTCGTCGTCGAAGAGGTCATCGTCGTCGTCGTCGTCGGTATTGTTGTTAACCTCCTCCAGAGGACCCTCTGAATCGGTGTCGCTTGCCGTGTCCGCCTCATTGTCGCTACTGTCGAAAAGGCTGTCTGCGTCGGAGTCGCTCGTACTGTCGAACTCGTCGTCGATGGGCAGGTAATCTTCATTGTTGAGATGTAGCTGGTGCATAATTTGTACGGAGCTGGGGGAGGCTAGGAGATGGTAGATCTAGACACCGAGACAGCTGTCAACCGGGTCAAGGAGGGTGAAAGGACGACAGCGATAGAGAAGAAGGGACGGCCGATGCCACGAGAGCTCTACTGATAGAAGAGGAGGTGAGGTGGAGAGAAGTGGAGGGTGATGACGAGATAAGTAAGTGTATGATAGATGCAGAGGAGTCGGGATAGAGTGAGCGGACGAGGGCACTCTTTAAATACATCTTCGGGATCGCGTGGGCCCCGAGGGTGCCTTTTTTAGCTTGTTGTTAACCACCAGAAAACGGGGGGCTCAATTTCGAGGTCGAGGAAAAAGGCAGAGGAAGGTGGCACCAAATGACGAAGTGTCACTGTCGCGTAGGCGGCCAATAGGTGCGCGGTGCCTGGCATGAGCGGTGCGTAGTGCAGAAAGCAGAGGGTGCGCGGCTAGCCGAGAACTGGTTAGCAGACCCCTAAAAACAGCGGCCAAACCCCCCCGGAAACAGCAGCTCGCTAACTGTTACACCGTGTAATTAAGTAATAAAGGTAAATATAATTACTAGTAAGATAAGGTACTATTATATTTATACTAAAGCTTAGATTTAAAGGATAAGAGTAAGAGTAATAAAGAGAGCTCTATTAAAAAGGAAGATATTAATATAAGAGCTTAGTTAACTAAAGGAAGTACCTTATTAATAGATAAAGATTTTAATAGTAATTTAGAGGTTAGTTTATAAATAATCTAGGGAGTTCTTATAAGATAAATTCTAAGTTTTATACTTATCTTATCTATAAAATAAAGTTTACTATTTAGTCTAAAAGCTTTTCTAACTACTTAAAAAGATTATACTATTTATTTATATTACCCTCTTCTAAAAGCATCTAAAGTAGTAAACTAACTATTTTACTATAACAAGATACTATACTTCTAGTAGATATTCGAGAAGTACGTCTATAACTATAACTATAGTTTCTCTAACTAAAAGCAACCCTAGAACTAGGAGAAAGTAATACTTCTCTACTTACTAAAACTCTTACTTAAGGGTAAGCTACCTTTCTACTAGTAGAAACTCTTTTATAAGGCTAAGGTAGCGGTACTATTAAACCTTCGACTAGTACTAGCGCTAGCGAAGGAGGTGCCGAGGTAGAAAGAGGGGTACTATTTTCTAGGGTAGGACTAAGATAAGGTAGTCTATCTATAAGTTATTACTAAAAGATAATATATATTAATTTAGTAGTAGAGGTAGAGAAAACTATTTAGTTTATTAGTAAACTATTTAGTCTATTAGTAAACTATACTATATTCCTAGGTATAGTCTTCTTTTTATAAAGATAATGTCTTATACCTAAGAAATACCTATACCTCTAAGTACTAACTTTACTAAAGATAATAAACTAAAGTAGGCTAGTTGTCACGAATCACGTGTTCACGTGATAAGAGAAGACCAGGCGGCGTCCTGAAAGGTCAAGCACTATCAGTACTCTTATAGCAAATAGGGACGCTTGGGCTAGCTAAGCGATCCAGGGATTTCATTCGGTTAGTATCACGTGACAGGGTCACATGATCGTTGGAGCTTGCAGGAGCTTGCGNGGAGCTTGCAGGAGCTTGCGTTGGAGCTTGAGGATCTTGGGCTCCCCGTAGGCTCCACGAGAACGAAGGTTCTATATAAGACTGGCACGTCTGCCATTAGATAGGAGCTTCGTGCTCAACTTAGTTATCAATCTTATATTGCGTTGGAGCTTGAGGATCTTGGGCTCCCCGTAGGCTCCACGAGAACGAAGGTTCTATATAAGACTGGCACGTCTGCCATTAGATAGGAGCTTCGTGCTCAACTTAGTTATCAATCTTATCATATCAGTTTGACATCTTTGATACAAGTAACGAGTTCACTTCCAAGTGAACAACCCGATAGTCTTCTTCTTATCATAGCATACCAACCAGCGAACACCCAGCCAAGTTTAGTTAGCCAGTTTGAGTATTCGTTACACTAGTCCTTTAGTAAAATAAACCTATAGCCTCTATATATATCTCTAAGTTTAATTTAGTAGCTAAGTAAAAGACTAATATTTATAAAAGGGTTAAAAAGATAGAGCTAATAAATACTATAGACCTCAAAAGGCTTTATTACTAGCTATAAGATATTTAGATAGCTAGTAATAGTATTTATAATATCTTTAGTAAATAGGTAGAAAAAGATTATAGAATTATATAGTAAATATATATAAAGCTAGTAATAGTAATTTAAAAGATAAAGTCTACCTAGAATAGTATAATAGCTTATACTATATTAGTAGATATATTTAAATAATTTAAAAGAGTAATTAATCGGAGATTAATAGGATTTTATTATTATAGTATTATAGTATTAAAGTATGAAAGTATAGTATAGTAAGCCTAGCTAGGGACTATAGCTATAAAGCTATTTATACTAGTTCTAATTAGTAAATACTTAATACTATTACTAAGAAACCTAGAATAAAATAGTTATAAATTTATTAAGAATTAAAACCTTTAAATCTATATTTTTAGACCTATAGCTTACTAAGAATAATATACTTCTCTATTGATATTTAAGTTAAAAGAATATTTTTAAATTATTTACTTTTACTACCCCTAGACCTTATAGATTACTACTCTTATATATAGTATTATAAAAAGGTAGAAAATTTACTAATTAGGCCTAGTATAGTATATAATAGTAGTATTTCCCCCTCTTTTAAGTAAGAGGATATATAAGTAGGCAGATACTAGGCGAGCTACTCCTATATAATTAGCTATTTAGGAGTAGAATAACTATTATTCCGGCCTCGCTTATAGATTTTTATATAAGTAAGGATAGAAAACAAATAAACTACCTTATATAACTAGGGTTTATATACTATATAACTAGTAATCGTTAAAATCGATATAGAATAGTATATTAGAATTATTATTAATAGTAAGAATACTATTTATTAGCTCCAAAGTAACGTAATAGCTCCGAAAACTCCTAAGGCTTAAGTAGAATAGTCCCCCTAATTTTGCTACTTAAGTATAACCCTCTTATACCTTCTTTCTACCTACTACTTTAACCCTTATTACTACTAAAAGCTATTAAAATATCTAAAATAGTTAATTACTAGGGTACTTAGTACTTAGTTCTTAATGTTCTATATCCTCTAGAGTTAGAACTTCTAGTATACCTATAGTATATACTAGCGAACCTAGTAATAGCTCTTAAAAGTTATATAACTAAGTACCTACTAAAGATAGTAAAACTTACTCTAGAGGCCCTATTTTCTAGAGATACTTCTACTAGTATAAGTAATAAAATTAAGTACTATTCTTAAAAAGTGAAGGATAACCCTAGATATACTATAGCTTAAACTTCTAATAGAGCTTATTATATAATATACTACTAAAGAGAAAGACTAGGATAATATCTAGTAAAAGATTAATAAATTAGAAGCCTTAAAAGAGAGGGCCTTGGGTATTACTAAAGTAAAGGCGAAAGTAAGAGAGGTACTATTTATACCTATAAAAGTACTACCTAGGAAGAAGAAGAAAATAGTAGTAGTATAAGCTTATAAGAGTAGATAGACTTCTAATAATAAGGGAAAGAAGAAGTATAAGTCTCTATTCTTTTTATTTATAATAGCCTTAAACTAATATATATTTTAGTAACTTCTTTAGTATTAAGAAAGCTAGAGCTAGAAAAACTACTTTTTATAATACAGATTTATATATAAGTGGCTATATATATTCGGAACTATATAATAATTATAATAGACTTTACTATAGATAGCTATATTAATAGTATAATATATAAGTTAATAAGGTAATATAATAAGACTATAAGAGTTTCTATTCTAAATAATAGATACTTATAAGATCTAAATATATTAAGTCTAGATAATCCTTTTAAATTATTACTACTTCTATAAAATAAATAAGCTAAAAAATTCGCGCTCTCTTTACTTAAAGATACCTTATAAACTCTTTATTTTTTAATAAGTAACTATTTAAAAGATATTCTAGGTCTCTTAAAAATAGTAGATAATATCTTTTTTACTATAAAGGTTAATACTAAAAATAAGTTAGTTAAAAAGTTAAGTACTACTAATTATATAAAGGCTAAAAATATATATTCTTTTATATAATACTTTAACTCTCCTAAGAGCCCTACTAGTAAGAGATATTATAAGGTTTACGTTATATTTAATACTAAAGTTAGTAATAATTCAAAGCTACTTAGGTATTATTTATCTTTATTTAGAGTATATAATTATAGTTCTATAATTAAGTAAGAAGATTAGAATAAAGTAAGTAATAAAATAAAAAATAAGTTAAGTAATAAGCCTTAATCTACTTAACCTATATCTAAGCTATCTAACAAGAATACCTAAGAGCTACTCTACCTCTCTTATAATAATAATACTATTATTATTAATACTATATATAGTACTAGTAAGTCTTATATAACCCGGCCTACTTTATCTCTATCTATAAAAGAGATTATAGAGCTAATCGAGATCTCGGATAATAATACTATTATTCTTACTTTGACCCCTGACCCTAATAAAGAGGGTTTACTATCTAAGAGTACTTTTAACAAAGAGGGTCTATTATCTAAAAGTACTTTTAATAAAGAAAATTTACTATCTAAGGGTACTCTTAATAAAGTTAAGATAGATAATAAGAATAAAGAGAATAAGAGTTATAGTAAGCTATAATAAGAAGCTATAGGATTACTATCTCTTTTTATAGAGAAGGATAAAAATAATGATAATAAGGGAGGGATTACTACCTCTATTACTAAAGAGAATTAAGGTTATTAGGATTAACTTAATTATAATAAATAACTAAGAAGAGAGTTATATAAGTAGGATTAGATTAAGGAGGACCTTAAATTAAAAAAGGAGTAGTATATAATAGAAGTAATTTAGTTATACTAGGGTTAGGGTTAATATTAAGACGCTAGAGTTAGTTTTAGGGATATAGATACTAGCTTAATTATAGAGGAGAACTCGAATATTAATAATATAGAGTAAGCTTGTTTTAATAAGGAGCTTTAGGAGCTTATCTTACTTATACTATTACTAATACCTATTAGAACTAGCCTTACTTTAAAAAGGAAGAGGGAGGCCCCTTATACTACTAAACTTAGTAAGGTTTATAGTAAACTAATAAGGAAATAGTAAAGGCGCGTATAAAAGAGATTAGTTCTATAAACTAAACCTTTTATATAAACAAGTTATTAATTCCTTTTATAAACTTAATCTATAGTATAAACTAGTAGTTAATTCATATTATTAAAAGCGCTATATATCTATATTTACTTGTTTTATTCTTAGGTACTTATATCCTATTATAATATATACTAGTTTTTTTTAGTATCTTAATATTTTATAATAGTTAAAATAGAGTTTTAAAGTCGTATAGTATATATATTTAGCTTAATACTAGCTGGTATATATTAATAGAAAGTAAGTAGTTAGTAACTTACAAGGATTATATATATCTTTAATTTAAGTTTATATTATAATCCTGTTCCTTATCCTTGTTTATTTCTTTATAAATAGCCTTATTTTACTTTTAATTCTAGCGCTATTATATAACCCTAACCCTAAGCTACTTTATAATTTGCAAATTACAGTTTTATACTAAATAGGATTAAAATTTAAGATTTGCGATTTACGAATTAGTATTTACTCTATTTAACCTTTTAGTACATTCAGGATGCCGTATCTTCCCAGTCCCGCGATTCCTAGGACTATGTTCGGATCCGATAAAGCACTAATAATGTTCTGAAAACAATGAGCAGTCATGAAAGCTCTTTAAAAAGCGTGTATTCAACAGAATAATGAAACGCTAAGTGAGCAAGACCAAAGTAAAATATGCAAGGGCCAGTCTAAAACTAGAGGTCCAACTCGTTCAATGTATGAACGTAGCTATTCAGCATCAGCCTCCTCTTCAAGACACCATTGAATCCCAACGCTCTCTCTTCGTTGCTGATATTATGTGCTTGAATGAGCACCAATAGAACGAATCCTTCAATAATCATGGTAGGTGTATTGCAAACAATTGACCAGTCGTAGACCACTTCATTACAGAAGCAATGATGAGGAGAAAAACAACCATCCCGACACCACCAACGGTCGACATGCGATGACCAAGCATGTCACCTGTTGCAATACTGATACCAGCAGCAAGCGAACGCTTTCCGTGTATAACGGTGGTTGTAGGAACATTCAGCAAATAGAGGAGTTTTTGATCAACCTCTCGGATTGAGACGAATTGCTTATTAACATCTTCCTCTTCACGTGTGTAAAGATTTCGAAGCATGAATCCATCGATGAAGCCCACGAGACCGGTGAAGGTACCGATGATCAGGAACCAACCGTCGCCGTACTCGAGCAAGTGACCGATGGCGATCCAGACGATGAGAACGACAAGTGAGAACCCTACGCCGATTCCTGAACCCATGATGTCGGCGAAGTAATCGATCCATCGTTCGGTGCGTACGCGAGACCGAGGTAGGATTTCGAAGATTGGGTTGGGTTTTCCGTCTTTGGTCAGCTCGCGGAGACGCTCTTCAACTTCAGCGTCGATCTTCAAGGCGTATTAGAGACATTTTTCTAATCTATCTTCTTGTTGTTGAATGTTTTGAAGGAAGACGGATTTGAATATTAGAGCCACGGCGACGGCTGTGTTGATGTATAGTTGCCAGGTATCTGAGAAGTCGTAAATCTTTCCAATGCCACCCCAAATCAAGACTCCAACCCAGTAAATGACATAGGCATACAGGGAACCCAGAGCATTAGCCATGAAGTGGCAAGTTCTCTGCCAAACATACTGGAAGCGAGTTGGTCGGCCCTGGACCATGTATAAAGTCTCCTGGATCTCGTCATCAATTGACCGACCGTTAAGCAAAAGGACTTTGGGTTCTTCCTTGTGGGTTTCCATCTATTGGCATTCTGAGATTTGGCGGATTAAATGCTCGCAGGTTTGATTCCGAGATTGCACTTCAGCGAGCGTGGTCATCAAACTCCATGCTCCGTTTTGTTGTTGTCGAATCAGGAGGATGTCGGTGATATAGACCTGGATGGATGAAGCATTTTGCATGATGATTTGCCATGTGTCGTTCAGTCCGTAAACAATACCGAGAATCACCCAAATCGTGATTATGCCGACCATGAAAAAGAAGACTGAGCTAGACCCCACCGCCCTTGTGATTTTGTCGGAGACATTTGGTTTCTTTGCTCTGGAGAGCTCCTCGAATACGGAAACCTCAGTGTCGATAGTGCAAGAACAATTGGGAGGGCAGATTTCTGCATTCCTTTTGTGTGAGAGCTTTTTCTGATATGCTGGCGGTGAAGGACCTCGTCCGGCGACATCCATTGATAGTGGCGTTGGTATTATGACCTTTTGGGTTGGCGCCGCCGCATATATTGGTCCAACGGCTGGAAAGATGGAGAGCTTGAACCTTTGCCGTGCTGTAGCCATATTGGAAGGACATTAAAAGGAATTAACTGTATCCAACATTAAAGAATGGACTAGTTGGTATAGAGCCAGGAAATGAAATCCAATCAACCAACCCCTAGCCAAGGAAAATGACAGGGGGGCCAAGAATTTATAAGTGTAGTAAGTGCCGAAAGGGAGGAAGTCAATGATGGGACAAATGCAGGTACAAATACCTTTCTCGGTATGAAAATCAACGGCAGCTATAGGCGCGTGTTTGAGAGATATGGAGACCGTCTTCGTTATCTAACAAATGGAGAATGCTGGGCTTCTAAATATGGAAACATCAACCGCAGTACACAGAGGATAGTTGAGACGACAGCATACTTCCTCAAGAAAAGTGCAACAGGTATTCTATAGCAAGGATATGAAGCCAAGTCTGTTCATGCGAAAGGTTGCTGGTACTACTCTCGTTTGGTCTAACGCCTCAGATGTCATGGAGAAGAGCCTGTCGTGGGATTGGGTTTGTAGCGGTAAAACAAGCACATGGTCAAAGCTACTGTACGGAGTATTAGAGCTGGGATGATATATACGGCACAACGTTTTCTGACACGAACCATGCCGTGAACTTTCAGGTTACAAGAAGGTACTTTATCTTGGTTCGAAAATGTAATCTGCACAACCCTTACCAGTAGAAGCAGTGCTCTTCTCTAGTGAGATCCAGCCGCCAATGTTACTTTGAAATATTGTTGTGAGGAAAGTAAAGTTGAGAAGTAAGCTCTTCTGCTCCTCTCCCCCACAGTAAGTATGGGCCGTATTATTCCATGTCATATCACCGATTCCATCGAATCTCCCAGAATATGCTAGGATTCAAATGATAATGTTTCCATCAAACCTTACAAAGTTCAATCCAGAATATTCCACTCTTGAGCACATATTCGGATCAGACGTCATGATGAAGACACAAGTCAGCCCATCGACGTCTTGTTTGATTTCGAGATTGAAGCCAAGATTGACGTTGAAAGAAGCGTTGTTTGGAGAAAATCATAGTGTGAGAGGTCTTGGCTAGCCAATAATGTGGAGTAGCTGTCGAAACAAGTTAAGCGAACCCCTTTAAACAATGGCAGTCTGGAGATCTCTTGGCATTTTAAGCATGTCCTGTTTAAGCATAATTAGAAACACTCGAACCGCTGGTGAAAGATCTCATAGCCAGAGCTCTCAGTACCCACCGACCAGATGTTCTTGCCATTGACGCTAGCACTGCTTGTGCAAATCCCATAAGAAACTGACTTCCAGGGTAATACCCATGGCTACCGGGGGATATTTGTACTTTACTCGAGTACTCGGTGGTTTTCCAATATGCAGGTCCAGTACATATACACTCGAAAAAAAAAATGAGAAGAAAAATTAATATCAAATGAATAGAATCGATTAAATGGTACTTGTGGATGCATAATAATATAGGTATACGCCCACGCACAGGCCACAACTAGACTCCCTACACCTCCTCTACTTCTAAAAGACTACAACGCCTACCTTTTTTTTTCGATTAGGATCAGAACTTGAAGTATACTGGTTACAGTCAGAGTTTGGCGAGGGTTGAAAGTTAGGGTTGGTTGGATATAACTTTTGGTTGTTTTGCAGTGTGAATACGCGCAGCTATGAGTAATCTTACCAGAAGTGCCTACGTTTTACAGTATGCCAGATACGGCCAAAGCTCCATAAGGACCATTTAACCGATTCCAAATGAACGATGAACCACACAGGAAGGCTGCTTGCTAAGAAAAGCCCCGAAAGAAGCAAGCCCAACCAGTCTGTGGACTTCAAATCTGTATCTTCTCTTGCATCATGCTAGTTGAGGAACGAAGCCCTGCCGGCTGGTCCGCTCCCTCACCACGTCCGTGATTCATGACAGTGCGTAAGCAATACGAAATACGCTACCAGTAAGCCTCTTCCTTGTCTCAATCTTCCGTTCCTGCACCAGGTGATCTGATTAAGATAACCCTGTGCGTGCAACCTTCCCTCAACTACAAGGTTCCATTCTTCCGCTTCTATGTTAAAGATCGTGGGGGTTGATTGCTTTATTGGGCTATCCATGCATGTTTGACCTGCCACCCTACAGTACTTTATACTCTCTAGATTACAGTAAGAGGAAGGATTTACCATCATCTGAAAGTAATACTGCAACTGATCCGAACTCATGAGCCTCGAAAACGTTAGACAGGAGTGAAAAGTGCCATGGAAGAATATCTCCGTATAATAAGCTATTCGTGCCAGTGCAGATTTTATAGAAGTGCCAAAAGGCAGTGTGAGCCTACGATAAAGATATCGTAGGCTATTCCTGCCGTAAATATTTGACGCGTTTCTACACCGCTGGAATCCAAGGTTTTCTGTAGCGTGGTAGGTATGCGCCAACTCACGCCAAACTATTGCCACTCATAAACAGTGCCCTGCTGACTTCTGTATAAATAAATACCTCAAAAAAAGTTGATAGTCTCTCATTTTCTGATCTTGAGTTTCTTTAACATAAAACTCCAAAATTCTGTTTCTGTGGAGGCCACACATTTCTTCGCTTTCGGTTAACACCCCCTCATCTGATGTCAACCCTGAAGCGTAACGCAATTATAAACACTCAGACTGCCGAGAAAATGTCTTCGAATTCAATACTAGGGGAGGCATTTATATCGATAAGCCAAAAAAAAAATCCACTCCTTCCATGCCTCCTCTCCCTGAACCTTAGTCCAGAACGGCAACACCGACACTTCATTTAGACGTACCTACGACCGACAGCGCACACATGAACGATATTCGACTATCTTCTCTTGAATACCACATCACCGACACTGACACAATAATAAGAATACCAAGCCATCCTTTCTCTCTAGCCGAACATAAACGTCCCTCAATCGAAATCACCTCCAAATCAATCAAAACTGCTTACCCTCGGGGCAAGACCAAAAAAAATTAAAAAGTCTTACAACAGACAAAACGCTCTTACCGATGCCTACCTTGGCAGCAATGACGAAGAAGCCCTCGAGATTGAGAATAAGCTGAAGAATGGCGGCAAATTAAAGTTTGCTGTTCGAGGGAGTTTCGCTATGAACCTGTGTCTGTTTATTATCCAGGGCATATGCAGCGATTTCGACAAAATCGTTGGCATTATTTGGGACGGCTGCCGATGCGTTTGTGAGTTTTTTCTTTCTCATTTCGAATCGCCGACGCTTTTCCGGCCTAGGAACCTTTAGAAGGGAGAGCTTGCTTACTGACTGCCGCAACTTCAGATGGATCTTGTGTCATCAACAGTCATGCTCATCACCAGTCGCTTAGCCGCGAAACCAAATGTTGCGAATTTTCCAGTTGTAAGTGTGCAGTCTAGCTAAAATCTAATATCCAATCATGCGCGAGAAAATATAAACTAATGATACATACAGGGTAGGAAGCGTGTCGAGACTGTGGGAATTATCCTTTTCTGCGCACTAATGACGACCGTCTCTGTGGAAATCATTGTATGTTGGCTACTGGAAATGTAATGAATGTTCTCGCTAACAAAATCCAGATTGAGCCGTCAAGAGCCTTGGGAAATGGTCCCAGTGATTCGGAGACCCTCAAAGTCATTCCTCTCATCTTTGTTGGCATCGCAAGTGAGCATCATCCAATAAATAGCCCCTGATCCTGATCCTACACCATGAAAAAAAATGGTTCCTCCGCCTAATCATTGTCTAACAACCACCCTAGTCTTCTCCAAAGGCTGTATCTTTGTATATTGTTTCTTACTCCGACGCTACCCAGCTGCGCATATCTTCATGCTTGACCACAGAAACGATATTGCAGTAAACGGCTTTGGACTTGTGATGTCAATCGTAGGAACTCGTTACAACAAAGTGTGATTCTTGGATCCCACGGCTGCTATCTGTATCGCATGCTTGATCCTTTTGAGTTGGGCTAGCACAGATTTTGAGCACATGTGGTTTCTGGTCGGGAAGAGTGCGCCTCAGGATTTCCTCAACAAGCTGGTCTATATGTCGATTACTCATGATACTAGAGTATTGAAGATCGATACTGTAGGTTTCCATTAATGTGATTAGATGGGCGATGGACAAGGTTAACTTTGCGGCAAATAGGCGATGGCCTACCACTCTGGGGATAAATACTATGTGGAGGTCGATATCATCATGGCTCGAGATGAAAAACTGGAAGTTACACATGATGTGGCTGAGGGACTGCAAAGGAAACTCGAAGGTATGCCCTAAATAATCATCTAGCAACATCGAAAGAGTCTGACGATAGACAGGTCTTGCGGATGTTGAACGAGCATTTGTTCATGTTGATTATGACGGTGCTCATAACATCGGCGAAGAGCACAGCCTATTTATGATACAGCAGAAGCGAAGGAGCCGTTGATTAGGAGAGTAAAAGACAAATTGTCATTCAAGGGAAGGGTATCAGAAAGAGAAGTGGATAATGCTAGTTCGCCTGTGTAAACATGGCGAGATGAGTATTGATTGATAGCCTCATAGTAACAGATGGATCGCAAGGGATTACAGCCTTAGTGATGATATTGATAAGCGAGGTACTGAGATAGTGATATGATTTGTGACCAACAGACTTGCAGTGACTTTGACACCTTGTCTTAAAGTTTATTACTACCTAATCGCAGAAGGACTCAAAATATTGTCTCTAGAGTCTCGTTCTTTAGTTTGCCACTTCTCAGACACCAACTCGCTTTTACTACCTAGTCTAAATGGACAAGATAATTGGCAGACTTGGCGTATGGTCAACTTTCGCACCAAATAAGTCTGTCCTCTCTTTTTCTACAAGGAGCTAGTACACCATGGAACTTTAGTCGAATGTACAACCCCTCAATTTCAAGAATATCTTCCTAGCATTTTGAACATTATTATACCTCGGCGAGACTCCATAGCATTATATTACGCTTTTCCTTTCCCTAGGCGAAACTATGGACACATCCTCAGAACCCTATTATGTTAGAATTCCTAGAACTAATAACTTACTTCGAAGTAATTATCCCGAACCACGTAGGTTAATAAAGATATATTGATTTTTATTATACGAGACTTTTAGTATAAGATCTTTTTCTAACCTAGAAGTGTCCAGAGATTCGCCTAACTGTCTTACAAGGTTCTAATATCTTCAAGTGTATATCTACACCAGGCTCGAGCCTGGACATCCTTACACGCTATTAAACACTAGGGAACTCGTCAAGTTTTGGTGGGGGGCTTAGTGGCTCGGACTGAATTGCATGGGCTGTAGCTTCAAGATAAACATGCAGAGAAAAGTAACCTTGAATTTGAAATTCTTAATGAATGACAATATCTCTCTTTTTTGGGGACGACCTGATCAACAGGTATGTCCTACATTGTTTGAGAATAAAAGAAGGTGTGCAATGAAATGAAAAACATAAAAGGATCTTGAAATCGACATCTACCATATTGGTAAGAACCAACCACCCAAAAGATTTGAATACAATGTCTCTCAATTGGGTTTTTGCTTCAACCTAGCTCCTGACCCTCCCCCCTTTCCGACATTTCAGTCGCTTACGCTTTTGCTACAGGAAACAAATCTGATTGCACTGGTCGTTGGAAACATTGACGTCCAGACATATTTAGAGATAAGAATACTCGTCTGGGTCGCAACACTCGTCTGGGTCGCAACACTCGTCTGGGTCATCGTGATCTCGCCTTCTTAGATGACTTAAAGGTGCCCGCTTTTCCCATCTTTTGCCCTGAATCTCACGCTTTCCGGCTTTCATGGAAGTTCTTTCGATTCCGCGAGGATTGGACTCAGGAGTCTGGCATTTGGGGTCCTTGTTAGGATTGTTGGGATCACCGCCACATTCTGGTACGAAAACAATGTCTTCAGCATCGTTCGATCTGGCAATAGCTGGATCTTTCATATCTCGGTTCCTCGCGTGAGCTCGAGATCCGGAGGCGATAGCAGTAAATACCACGATGGCGGTGAAGATAGAACGGGCCAGCATGTTGAAGACTGTTGTGTATTTTGAGAGGAGTGAAATGCTGGAGTGGTAGAATACGTGTTTTTGGGGAGACTTTAAATTGTAGCTTGTGTTGTTCGGTATGAATTTACAGATATTGAGCCCTGATTTTGTGCGTGAGGGAGTTGCAATGATGTTGAGGATGATGATGATCAAGCAGAACGACAAATATACAGTGGGATGGCTTCCTTTTATAGATGCTTCAAATGCTTGAGGCTAAACTACACCAACCAGTTAGGCAACTAAGCCACAAGACATGGCATTGTAGCACGGAACCGTAGACTCCCGAGAAAGTAAATTGCTTGATAGAAAAGTCATTGCAGGCTGATGACTTTGCGGAGCAAAGTTTGACGAACTCAGCCTACTGAGTTGTCTTACATTGCTAGAAGCTGGTAGTTTGATAGTATCAGTGCATATTTTGAGAACAAGATCGGAATCGCAGCATTCGAAAACACAATTACCTGTGGAGATGCTGGACCCGAAGATATGGAAATGCTTCGCCACGTTGGTGTTGGATCCTAATTTAGAACCAACAGAGACATCGGGTAGAGACAAATAAGCGAGCACACCAACATCGCAACTAAGCCAATGAGCATCAGAGCTCAATGGCTCATCATCTTAGGCGATGTGACCTTAAAATAGCCACTAATTTGCTATGTGAAATATTCACTAAGTAAATCTTATTCGATCTGGGGAATGTTTCACTAAGCATTACACAGTGAAGTGAATTTAGACGACAATCTATTCTTATAGACGTCCAATAACAATCAATCTTAGTAGAGGTGAATAACTAGTACGCCTATTTTAAGACGACGGTTTTCTAAAGGTATTGCGCAACAGAATCAATTTTACGAATGGGTTAGCATAATTGACACTCGTAAGTCTTTAACTAAATTACGTTGGGACAATTGAGGCTCTTAGTGTGGCCAGCAGTATCACGACGGTGAAATGTCACAATACTTTCTAACAATAAATGGAGTGTATTATACACAGACCTAGTAAATGGATATGTTCGTATCTGATCTTGAGTCATATCACACTTTCTGAAAATTGATAGGAGGTTTACCCTGGTATACCGCTTTTTTCAAGACTCGGTTCCTCTATGAAGAACGTCGCTGTTCGCGTACTTGAAGTTGGAATAGTTCCATTTTAAGGAAGCTGGATATCTTCTTAACCCACAACAACATCGGGGCGGTCTTCTGACAGCTATTTGAAACTACCGGATCATACTTTCATGTAACATTAGATCATGATCATCTAAAATCATGGCCTCGGAGGAGGCAGTCAAGAGCAAGTATTCCAACCAATAATACTCCGATCACCTGGGTTTACCCCAAAAACCACGACTCTAAATCTGCTTCTACATTCTCACCAATCTCTTAATCTTATCTTTTCTCATGGCTCCTTCTTTGAATTAAATTACTTGGATATTCCTGGTGCTGCTCACTTGCAGAATTAGGTTTGGCATATCTACTCACATGCTCGATAGGTAGAATTCTGTACATTTGCACTTACAAAAATAACCCCACCAGGCCACGTCTCGACAACTCGCCTTTCATGCACGTCTTTTTGATTGCCGTTACTCCAATTGTTGCATGTGTTATATGCCAAAGGTTTGAACTCTGATATTGAATGGAAGCCATTTAGAAATCAAGGGCCACTGTACAAGTAATCTTACCACGTAACTTCGACAGGCAAATACCTAAAATGCCAAGTAAGAAGACAAGAGTGCATGAAGAAATTTCGATATCGAATTTGATCTCGTTTACTAGAACCCATGCTGCTTCCGGCCGCTTGAAATGGACGTCAAAAAAGGCTAATATCGTCCCATTGAAATTCCACAACAAGAAAGAGCAGAAAGGTCCTTAAGACTTGAGCAGCTTGTCTTGAATCTTGCTATCTGATCTCAAAGCATGCAATAAAAAAGGTGAGGATGCTCTGTTGTAGCATAAGATATAAGGTCAACTCCGTATCCTCGTACCTCTTATAAACCCACTTGCTGGTAAGCTATTGAGCCTCAAAAAGTGTATCCATGTCCGTCATCCAATGTACATGAGAACGATGGATACCAAAATACTAACGGAATGGATACCATGACTAGTCAGCTAGGAAGGGAAGGCCAGACAGACAGAAACCCCAAGGGAAGCTACACCGTACTAGATCTAAATAGCTTTCAGTTAATCACATCAATCCAGGAGAACGACACGAGCTTTTGAAAATCCAGCAAACCCAATCTATCCCTTCCCAACCTTTTTTTCTGTTAAAAATTCAAAACGCTATGTCAGTAAGCTTAATACCAGCACAAAACATTGACACCTGCAATCTTCAGAAAACAAAGAAAACTCTAATAGTATAACTTCTCCCAAATCCAATCCAACTCAAGTAAACTCCAATCACTCACAGATGGACACTGTATTTCGTAATTATCGACACCTTACATACCCGATTCTCAGCCGCGGCGCTAGCAACGGGATATTCCACATCTTCTCCCCACCTTCTACGTGTACAGGAAAAAGCGCACATTTTGGTCCGGCTACAAACTTGATCAGGGCCTCGAATTATTTAACGGAAAAGTCTAATATGTAATATCTAAGAAGTTCCACCTTTAGAAAGCAGATGTCAAAGAACACTTTAGATTTTAATTCATAGTTTTGCGATTTCTTTTGAGTGGTTCAAAGAAATGGTGATAGTAAAGTGCACGGGTTCTCTTCCCCACGGTAACTATGACGGCACAAGCCATGCCATACCCTCCTGCCAAATTCAGAGAAGAAGCCGAAGCACGAGTAGGTAAATCATCACTTCTAGCAAATCACCATTCATCCCAACCAGTACGAACCGACCCCTTGCATAAAAGCGGAAATTCACCAATGGATGAGCTTCAGTCCCTCCCAAGAAATGGACCAAGTGAACGATATGCAAGTGCCCCATGTAGAAGATCTCCGTCCTTATCTCAGACCCACATCCATCCATGATGCAGCTCTATCTTTTGTAAATTAATTTGACGGTGTAATCATCACTCATCCAGGTACGAACAGCAGAGGCACAAGAAAAGCGAGTATTCCGTCCCGACATTCTGTACAACCACCTTCCTGTCGTGGCCGCCAAGCCGCATCCACAGCAACAATCTGAATCTCTGATAGGATGGGGAAGTGGAAAAAAAGGTACACAACGCGGGATGCTTGCTCATCATCCACAAAACTTGCCTCTCACTGTCTCTTCTCTGCCCGCCTCGCACAGCAGAAGCAATGCAGCACCCCGCTCTTAACTATCAGGGTGAATTATGGAAGAATAATCCCTTGTATGTACATCGTCATATCGTTCATATAAAGAAGATGTCCTACCCACACTCATTCTTGGTTTCTCCATCCAAGTTTTGCTTGATCAATTGGCACTGAGCTTGTTTTCCCTTGGCCCAGTACTGATTCCCACCCAAACCCCACGACATTGCAATCATGGTCGGATTCAGATTGATCTTTTCTCTTGCTGCTACTTTACAAGTAGCGGTTTCGACACCGATTCAATCGCGTACCGCCTACAAGGTCAAGGAGACGCACTACGTTCCTCGCGCGTGGAGAGTGGTAGATGAGGCGCCAAAGTCGCATATTGTGAACTTGAACATTGCTCTCAAACAGGGTGATTTTGAGGAATTGGACAGACATTTGTATGAAGGTACGTGAGAACAAATCAGCCATGCAGTGACTCAAAGGTCGCTTGAATTCGGAGTCTCCGCCTGAAATGTAGGACGACGGCTAATTGAAAATGATTGATCAGTTTCCGATCCTGACCACCAACGATATGGGCAACATCTCTCGGCCGATCATGTCAATGAGCTTGTCAAGCCAAGTGACGAGTCGTTGAATATGGTTCACGAATGGTTGAACGACAATGGAGTTCGTGACTTTTCGTACAGTGCTGCCAAAGACTGGATTTCGGTCTCGCTTCCAATTGAAATGGTGGAGCAGCTTTTGGATACCAAATACCAGGTGTATGAGCATGAGGACGGAGACAGACTAGTCCGAACTCCAAAGTGGTCTCTTCCACAACATCTCCATGAGCACATTGACGCCATTCAACCAACCACTTCCTTCATGCGATTGACTGGCCAGGGAACCAGGTTCCTCAAGCTGGCACCATTTGTTCCACCAAACTACACCCCTCCAAAAAACTCGACCATTGCAAAGGTCTGCAGTGTTGATTCCGTCACACCACAGTGTTTTGAGACTTTGTACTCAACCAAGGGTTACGTACCAAAGGCAACAGACAAGAATAGTGTTGGATTCACCAACTATCTCGGCGAGATTCCAATTCGACCAGATATTGAGAAGTTTTTGGCCAAGTACCGCCCTGAAGCTGTCAAGGCCGCATACACCTTCCCACAAATATCAATTGCCAATGGTCCAGTTCAAGATGGTCCTCTCAACGCCACCCAAGCTGCTGAAGGCACATCAGGGGAGGCAAATCTCGACGTTCAGGCGATTATGGGTATTTCCAACCCAACTCCTGTTTTTTCTTGGTCTACCGGTGGAAGCCCCCCATTCAACCCAGATCTCAACACTCCTACCAACACAAATGAGCCTTACATGGTATGGTTGAACTATATTCTGGCTCAAAAATCCATCCCACAAGTAATCAGTACCTCCTACGGAGATGATGAACAAACCGTGCCACAAGCTTATGCCGAGAGAGTGTGCAAGCAATTTGCTCAACTTGGTGCCCGTGGTGTATCCGTTCTTTTCGCATCTGGTGATCGCGGAGTTGGTCTGAACGCGACCTGTTTCAGCAACGATGACAAGAAAACATACAAGTTCTTACCATCTTTCCCTGCTGGTTGTCCTTATGTGACCACCGTAGGAGCAACACACAACTTCGAGCCGGAGGTTGTTGCATACCGTGCCGGAAATACAAGACCCGATGGTACTTTCCGCGAAGTGTATTCCAGCGGAGGAGGCTTCTCGGAATATTTCCCACGCCCCAAGTACCAGGAGAAGGTCGTCAGCAAATATGTGAAAGAACTCAACGGAACCTATGCTGGTCTCTATAACACGAAAGGACGTGCCTACCCCGATCTTTCTGCTCAAGGACAATACTTCGCATACTTCTGGAACGGCACAGAGGGTGTCATCAGTGGTACTTCCGCATCAACTCCTCTCATGGCCGGTATTTTGGCACTCGTTAACGATGCCCTCCTCGAGTGTGGCAAGGCTCCACTTGGATTCTTGAACCCATGGTTGTACTCACGCGGATGGAAGGGATTCACGGATATTGTTGGTGGAAGTGCTGTCGGATGCCAAGTTGATGGTTTCGCAGCAAAAAAGGGATGGGATCCAGTTACCGGTTTCGGTACTCCAATTTTCCCAAAATTGGTTGCTTTGGCAAAGGACTGAGGTGGATAATGACACAAAAAGGAGTATGATAATGTAATTTAATGAGAGCTACGCGTCTGGTCCTTCCTTGGAGGACTGCGCGCACGATGATGAACAATGACAAAGAGTTGCGCATACGAGTATGTGTCTGTAAATGGAGGGTTTAAACCACAAGTGTGACGATATGTATGAATAGACGTTGATGTGGTCAGAATCAGGAACTCGGGAACTAAACCATAAAATTGGAAACCTAACTATAAAAAGAGGGGGCGCATTCACGTGATACACGCGGAAAGCCACGCATCTGGACCCACTAATACCTCAATACAACATTGCCGTTTCTTTTCTCCATATTTACACCCACGCGTTTATAACATTCTAAGGGACTCTTGTCCATCCGAGAGCCAAGTCCCAAATGGTAAAAACATACGAAATAAGTCGGATGACTTCAAATGATTTGCATCTTCCGTCCCTCTTCCATACCACTTTCAGCATGATCCACCAGCCATATCAGAGAACTGACTCTTCTATCAAATGAATGCAAATAAATATTGGTCCCCAATCTCCCTGTACGTACTGACTTCAATCTCGAAGGTCCTACATCAAAATTTGCAATCTGAGCAAGCCAGCGCGGAGATGTCTGCGAACCCCGTTTCCCTTTAACCCATGGCTTGGACCGGCCCTTGGGGATATCGCATGGTTTTATGGCGATGCTGCTACTCTTTGAAGAGAATTTCCAGACATCTGGTATGAAATTGACCTGACAACACTCTGGTATGCCTGGCATGTGAGAGCTCCAAGCCACCGGCAATGCGAGGTGAAAATTGCTCAGAGCAAAGACACAACGAACTGGGCTAATCCTCTAGCTTCTTGGAGTCCTTCTTTCCGCGAAGCTAAGAGAAGGAGCTTATCAAAGCAAACCTTCTTTTTCTAGTCGTTTGGTTTCCTGGCCCTCTTTGTGTTGAATGTTGATCTTGCGCCTTGAGACTTTGGAATATGCGCCAATTGGTCGAGAGTATAAGTCTGAGAGGGAACTGATGCTGGAGACATAACGAAACCACGATTGAAAGGGGAAGACAGGTCTAATTTGACTGCTGTCTAAATTGCAAAGGCGTTCATCAGTCTTCTATTTTCGTATCTTGTTAGTAACGAAAAACCATCCGTGCAAATTTTCACATACATAGAGCTCACCACCCTTAGGTGCGGTTCGAGGATCTCCAACCATTCTCTAATACTATCACTTGAGCGGCGTCTTAGCTGCGAAGTAGACGATCTTCTAGACGTTGAAATTCTCGGAATGGACTCAGAAGATGAGCGAGTGCTTCTCAATTCTATGTCTTCATCATAGTCTTGCAAAAGTTGATAGGATTTTCGTCGGAAGAAGTTCCTGAGTCTGCAACCAGGATTCTTGAGTCTGCAGTCGGGAGACATTTCGGGAAAGATATATACAATCTTGCTCAAGAAAGTAGGGACCTGGGCGAGAGGGAAAAAAGTCAAGAATAAGAGGGACATATTATATCAAATATCTTCTTCCAACGCCCTGACCATGCTTTATTGGGTTCACAATAATTTTAGTCGATGAGCAAGTCCCCTTTTCTAGCGCGTAATGCATTGTCCCAATCACAGTTACACTGAATCTGCATACGGATTTAGGAGCGTCAGCATATCAACCGACCTGACGGTACCACAGTACGACTCGGTTCTTATCAGGTGGATATGGTGCATGTTTATTTTTCCGGGTTGCATAAGTATCCACAGGAATGTGCTTTTGAATTTTATACGGTGCTTAATGGTATAAACAGGTCGAATAATTCTCTACATGTAGAAAGCACGGTCGTTCCTGACACGGCGTGAAGCCAAAATACCGAGTATCGAACGACCAACATCCAAACCGCACTCCAGAATGCATATATGTAGAGTAAGGACATATGTCGAAATTTGTTCACACATCCATTCCCCAAAAGTCTACCTCAGCCCATTCTCTACCCACTGATCACTACCCTGCGTGCATGCGCGTAGATTGCTACCTCGATATGCAGATGGTGATTTTCGAGCGATCTCTTTGGGATACATACATATGCCATATGCAACCCGGAAGGGATGCTGTATGGCTGCGCACCGTTCCGATATGTTCGTAAGTAAATAGCCGATGCATGTCATGTTTATTTAACCGAGTTCTCTCACTTGTACAACCAGGTAGTGCTACCATACCATTCTGTAAGGAGTTAGTACCTCGAGATATCGATCTAGGAGGTAATTTCACATGTCTCGAAACATTTTCGTTACCAACCCGAACATTTACCACGTTTTCCAAGTTTCTTTTGCCCTCGAGGAATGCCATGCCTTTCGGAAGAAGTCCATTTTTCCTGTTTATTTATTCTTCACTCCCAAAATAACATGCAGATCTTTCTACAGATCCCTCCAAATCCTATCTTCGTCACATCTTAACTTTCTCCCTCAGCAACTCCCCCATCACCTTAACCGCCTCCTCTTCAGACAAACACAACCTCTCAATTCCACAGCTCATCATCAAATTATCCACCAGCCCCCTTCCTTCTCCAAACTCCTCAACAGCCATCCCATCCTTATCCCTAAGCTGTCCATCCTCCCCTCTCTCAATATTTTTATCCCCTGCCCACTCCTTCATCTTCTCAACATACCCCCGTCCCCCATCAAGAGTATACCCAACTACCACCTTCCCAAGTGCAGCCCCAACACCCATCTCATATGCCGTCCCGACATCCATACTTGGTCCTCGAAACGGAGTCATATTTGCTAACACGCCGTCGCAGGACTTAATTAACTCCATGTTTGCGTCGCGGATTGCTTGTGCAAATGCGCCGCTGTTGGGGATGTGTGGTTTGTTTGTTTTGGCGTCGAATTCGAGGGTGTTGTCGAGGGGAAAGAGACCGTGGAGTTGGTGTTTTGTGCAGATGGCTTTGAGCGCGTTGCCTCGTTCAACCGGCGAGGGGAGGAATACATCGGGACCTGCGAGGTATATCTTTAAAGGGGGTGAGGAGGTCATGTTGTTGTGTTTGAGGGTGGTGGTGTATGATGTTGTGGGGTAGGAGTTGTTCTTGCCTTTCGTCCTCTGGTAAGTACTGTTTGTTTTGTTATTGCTGAAGTTGAATTTATCGAGGTCAAGCTCCTTGTGGTTTTTCTCTCTTATCCTACCATTCCGTCGCCCCAAAAAATCTTCACCTCTCTTTCCTTCTTGAGAATCCGATTCCCTTTCTGCCTGCCTTTTAAACTCGGACAATGTTCTGGGAGTCTGGAGGTTTCGAAATTAGAGATTGTATCTTCTCTGTGATGATCTATTCCCTGTCGTCTCTGATGTTTTGGTGTATGGTTTCCAACAGTATGCTTCCGTATTGGTCTTCTGCCTCTGCTCTGAAGCTCCCCTCCAAGATGTTGTCTGCGTGATCTGGTGGGGTCGCCGAAAATGGGGGCCACTTGGCGAGGTTTCATGCATATCCATGGCGGGGTAAATGGCTAGACCAACCAACTGGAAGGAGGCATATTTGGGCTATCATTTACTTCAACTCGTTTGGTTGAATAATAAATCATCACGACAGGTACCGATCTTTATTTCTATTCTTGTTGATAACTTTCCGCCTGGGGTGTTGGAATTGGACTTTCGCTATTGAAGCGGTTTTGTGACCCTTGGAGAAGTGCTTCAAGAAATCGCGCCCTGTCTATCTACTCATGCTTCTTATTTAGAATGCAGTATAAGCAAGAAAAGATGTTTGAGAGAATCACAATTTTTGGCGTGGGATTACAGAAAGGAAAGCAATGATTCATTAAGTCGTTTACGCGAAGTGAAGGGGAACAGGGGTGAGTTGAAGTATGGTGAGCATGAGAAGGACCATAAAGTCAATTTACGCTATGTTATATTCTGACTTGAAATCACCGTATCTTACGGTCTTTGCCTCCAGATTTTGTTGTTTCCCTACAAAAGGTGCACAGGAAGGGTTATGGGTGGGTTTGCAAACGTATTAACGAGCCTTCCCTAAATACTGCGTGATTGTTGTCGGTGATAAGGAGAAATCCTTCTTCATTCTACCTCCGTGAAACATGTTCGGTTTAATAGTACGGTGGATTTTACTAGGGTGTACTCAGGACGACTGAAACTCAACTTATGTGACTTACCCACGAAAGGCCTGATCGTTGAAGGTGCAGAAGAAGGACGTTTCACAACTGGATAGAAACATAAATGCGAAGGAAGGATTGAAGTTTTGACATCGGTATAGATGAACTCTATATTTTCAGTACAGAGTCATTTTCCCAGAAGTGGTCACAGTAATGTTTATGAAAGAAAGTTATGGTCTGATTCTCCTTCCCTCCCTCCAAGCAAGAAGATCCAAATCAAGTTATACGAGATTATGCTGAGTCGTGGAAATAGTATTCTGTACAATCACTGCACAGTATCACAAGGAAGCCCAAAAATCACCAAAGGCGACTCATATTATCCGAATTGTCAAGGCTCGCGCCAGACGATAAAACTAGCAGAGAACATCTCCATTATTTTCACCCTTCCCTAATAACTCGTGTTCATTACGAAAGTTTCGAGGAGAAGAACAAGATATATATACACAGCCAGTTTTCTTGCCCGTTGTACTGGTTCAGATAATCCTTGTTACATTATGCAAATTTATCAAGGTAGGTCTCCTGATTCGATATTATCCCTCACAGTATCCCAGTAGTTGAAGATATTGTTGAATTGCATGATTGGATAAGTGTTGGTGTTGTAGTATTTTGGGGTACAAAAGTGAGAATAGTTACAGGTCCAAAAATAGTAATATTACTAGATGACAGCGGCATGTTAAACTACCTGAAAATCCAAGTGCTCGAACCCATAAGTTGGAATAAACTTAGTAAAATTACGACATCAATCTCAGGCCTAGCTCGGACGATAATAAAGATCTGAAACAAATCCTATAGCTTATTTTATTATAAATCGTTTATAAATCGAGGTTGCAAAACACCTACAAAAGTTGCAAACTTACTTATATGTACACTAACAAACGTTGTTTATATTACAAAAAACCCGCGGCAAAATCACTCTAATCAATTTAACCACATCGATGACGAGCTGCGAAGCGAGCGACATGTCAGTCAAAGCCTTGTCTAACCACCCCAGCTGACCCAGGATTATACGACTTCAATGGCCTCTTGGCCAAACCGCCGCTTTTTTGGAACAGGGTGGGTATAACACGCGCAAATCGTAAATTTCTTTCCTGTCAGAATACAAATAACCTTAAAGGATAAGATAATAGAGGTAGGAATTACGGATTAGAGAGGCTATATAATAGACGCCCTATATAATACTATAGTAATTAAGCTAGAAAGTCACCTAAATCAATTACGTTCCCTGGTATATCCCCTTCCCGAGGAATATAGAAGGTCGCTAGCTACAGCAACTTCAAAGATTATTTTCTTGGGTACATAAGGATTACAAGAACTTCTAAAGTTCTGAATAGCTTCAAGTTCTACCTTAGTACTTGGAGCTGGTAGGAGGTTCTTTGATAAAGTAGCATTAGAGTGCAGGCCTGCGAGACTACCTTTTCGGAACTTCGCCCACGGTCAAGGACAAAACAGCGTGTGGACGTGAGTTTACAGGGCTAAAGGCCATTCAAGTCGTGACGGGATCGACCGGAGGCCATTAAAGTCAATTGATCGCTGACCCAGAGTATGCATCCAACTTTGATTCTTTGATTCAAACCGTAAATTTCCTCTCCGCTGGGTTATTGTAAAGCCGACCTAGACCGTTCTGGGCCCACCAAATATTCAAATACCCACAAGAGTTGGGTTCGTCAATGAATCATTCCCCTAACGAGAGCAGACAAGAAAAGGCGCAGTCGATAGTTTCAGAATGACCGCAGGAAAACGCAACACGACGAAGTACATTCCGAATGACGCTCGATAAAGACTTTTGAAGGAAGTTATGTGGATCTTCAAGCACTCGTTCTAATGTACGAAGTACACTTTCTTTAGTATGATGGGTCTTGGATAATACTCGGAAGCTTCGGTGACCGGCGTGGTGGCGTTAATATGCAACTGCTTAACCAAAAGTCTTGTAACCAAATCAGATGACTGCTATTACACATCTGCAAAAATAAGAACCTGCAAAATTAGGTGACAAGAGTCTGAAAAGTAAGTATCCGATAGTCCGACTCCCGCATCTATCTACTGGTACAAAGCAGGGAATATTTACTACTCGACGGGATCCCCTACAGTATAACTGTTGATAAATTCCCGATATTATAGTTCAAATGAGCCATATAAGGATCTCGAAGTTAGCTCTCATTTGCGGGAAAGCCTCTCCCTGCAAAGACTGTACCGAGGTAATAAATGGGAATGAATATCATTGTATCCACCGCACATGCTACGGTTCCAAAGAACGTCCAGGGTTTGCTTAATTACACTAATCACCTGTCCGTTCTATTTCTGACCCTTAAACTTACTATACTTATATTACCAAAGAAAGGTAGCTAGCGGTATCTGTCATGCTGACAAAGTGGATTGCTTGAACCTTACTGTAAGCTTACAAGGGCATCCCATGTTGCGGGGTGGTGATCAATCTCGCCAGCATTAACGTCACCTCATCCAAAGGTTCGCCTCAATTCAGTATACATAAACATCTGAGCATAAACATCTGAAAAGCAAGTGGACAAAAGATTCACGGACCAAAAGATGTAGAAGTGGATATAGCTTGTCCATTAAAGTATTGTCTAGTCGTTAAAAATATGTAAAAAGAAACATAACCTCGTGGTATGCCAAACATCATAAAACTCCGCAACGCCATTTTTGGGTCTCTGGATCTTTCTAAGTAGCAGCATCAAGTGGGAATCTGTCCACAAACTTGAAGGTCTTTAACCCAGCCTCGAACTCAGTGACAAAAGCCGGAACCTCAGCGCCCTTGAAAACACCCGCGGTGGTAGAAACACCGGCAGCGTCCAATGCAGTCGACGCAGTTCCAAGAGCACCAACAGGTTTCCCCCATCTATATCCATCACCTAAGATCTGTGTGGGTCTACCGGCTGGGAAAAAGGTACTAACTGATCCGTTTCCAGAGAAAAGAGATTCCGAGCCAGAGGTGACGATAATGCCATCAAATACTGAGGCATCCGCGAAACTGTATGTCGCATTGACACCTGGGACGAGTCGCTCTCCAATTACAGCTACCTTTACGCCTGATGCCGCAAAAGCCTTGGCCAAAGCATCAGCTTGAGCGAGAGTTTCAGGGCTGCTGATTTTAGTAAGAACAGCAACTTTCAAGGTAGCGATCGTAGGTAGCGCGTTGTTGAAAATCGAAACAAAAGCAGTCGTTTTATCGTTGTAGAACGTAGGATCCGGAGCTGGAGCCTCCAGGCCGAGGACGCTTGCAACACGTTTGGCAATATCGTTACTGACGCGATTAAGTTGGATAAGAACGTTTGATTTCACAATCGGAGATTGGAGATTTGAGGTCTCAAAACGGATGGCGTTGATGAGAAATTGCTGCTCAGCTGGAATCAATGAGTTGTAGAACAGACGTGCTTGGGACCAGACGTCGGCGAATGTCCCGGAGGTTGCACGAACAAGAGGCCCCCCTGCTGTGCGACCTGGTGCTGTGAAGAATCCTTTGCCAACGGTTTGGTTGGCTTGTTTTGGACTCCCCTTGTTCAAAGTGTTGGGCGAGTAGGCGGCTGTGTTGAGATGGATGAAGTTCTGACCGGCTCCATCGCGATTGTTGTTGTGGACTGCAACGTGTGGACGGTTGATGGGAATTTGCTCAAAGTTGGGACCGCCATGACGATTCAACTGAGTATCAAGGTAGGAGTAGATTCGTCCTTGAAGAAGAGGATCTTCGCTGAAGTCGATTCCACGGACAATGTGTGCGGGTTGGTACTAAGACGGGTTAGCTTTGTTGTTATTTGTGTACAGTAGGATATCGCTTGCTTTCGCAATGGTTAACTTACCATGACCTGCTCCGTCTCGGCGAAATAATTGCGTGGATTCTTGTCCAACTTCATCTTGCCAAGCAGCGTGACAGGTACAAGCTCCTCAGGGATAATCTTGGTAGGATCAAGCACATCGAATCCGAAAGTCAGAGCATCCTTTTCATCGAAGATTTGCACACCAAGTTCCCACTCGGGCCCATTGCCGGAGGATATGGCATCCCAGAGGTCTGCTCTGTGAAAATCGGCATTCTTTCCAGCCAACACCTGTGCTTCTTCCCACACCAAACTAGCCTTTCCTTGCTTAGATTTGAAGTGAAACTTTACGAATTTGGATCCACCGTCCGCGGTGACGAATCTGAAAGTATGAATTCCAAATCCGTCCATGTGGCGATATGATCGTGGAATACCATAGCCCGCCATGGCCCAGAACAAGGTGTGCAGAGAACTTGGCTGTTGACTGAAGAAGTCCCACGCGCTGTCGTGAGCGGTAGCACCTTGTGGAATTTCATTATCTGGCGAGGGCTTGACGGCATGGATAAGATCTGGAAACAAAATAGCATCTTGAATGAAGAAGACGGGAATGTTATTTCCAACAATATCTGTGGGATCGCGGAATTAGTTAAGAGATTTACATGTCGAGAGAGCTGCATACCAAAGTTTCCTTCGTCCGTGTAAAACCTTGCGGCAAACCCATGCACATCACGAGCAGTATCTGCACTGCCGCGACTTCCAGCAACAGTCGAAAATCGGACGAAGACAGGAGTGGTTTTCCCTGCAGCTCCTAGGAAGGAAGCAGCGGTGATATTGCTCCAATCTCCGTAACTAGTGAACGTTCCATGTGCACCTGTTTTCGTCAGACAAAGTCGTACATCAATATACTTGGGAGACATACCAGCACCACGGGCATGAACTGCTCTTTCTGGAACCTGTAAAGGGTAAGCGAATGAAACTAATGGTAGAACATGCAACATACTCTTTCGTGGTCGAAATGCTGAATCTTCTGTCGAAAGATGAAGTCCTCCAATAAAGTAGGTCCTCTTTCTCCAGCTTTTAGACTGTGGTCATCAGCAATTGGACCGCCAACATCTGATGTGAGAAAGGCGTCATTATCGTCGACGTGGAATTTGGCCAAAAAATCCGCATTAGGTTCAGCCCTTTTGTCTTTAACAGCTGCTTCTCCATCCATATAAGGACATGCTGCGTTCGCCAAGCCCACCAGGGCGAGAAGTTGCCATCCTGATCGCATCTTGAGGTATTAGGAACCGAGGAGAGATTCCCAAATTACATACACAACAGTAGATGATCAACATTAGAGAAGAGGATCAGAAACGGGAAGTCGACGTGTTATAAGCCAGTGCCAAGTCCCAACCCTTGAACGAACAAGGTAAACAAATTCCGACAACACTTTCTTCAGGCAAGTGGAATTGGAAGAAGAAACTATACCCCGGGAAACACCGATTTCCTACCAATAATTTTACTTTCACAAGAGAATTTCCCATCACATGGGGTGTTCAGACTGCTGTCTTCAAGGGAGCTATGGCACTTCGGTAACGTGGGGTGAGAAATTACTATGCTGACCCTGTAGACAAGGTGAATGCCATGGCGAGAATGTGTGACTGAGCGAATGAAAACATTGACCAAGACCAATGGTGATGCAGAATTGCGAGGAGCGTCCTCGTAAATTAGTGAAAAGAGACCAACGAGAGACTTAACTCCTCGCGTAGATTGATGACGGAAAGTATCGCTCACTTGGACAGGCCCTTCTCCTGCTCAGATATCTTGATACTACCCGACTAAGCTTAGACCTTGTGGGAGTACTCAGAGCAGGTACGGTACACTGAGAGAAATGGATGCCCACAATACCGGCATGCTTTCTGCAAGGCTGGGACTAGCATGATGTAGAGGTAGCATGGAACATAGAGCGATCTGAGCGACAGTAGCCGACTCGCTACTATGCCAGGGTGTTGCACATCTCAAATTACGGTTGTACCTTGCGCACACCAGCGTATAACTAGTAGATATTGGCTTGATATGTTTTGGTACAATACTGTTTTCTCCCTTAGAGACGAATCTCGCCTCAGAAATTTTGTGAAATGAAACTCACGGGTAACAAAAGGTTTCCACAATTAGATGGATGATATGCCAAGGGAAGTTGCGCGGAGGCTCACCTACTGGGCTTATGCAATGGTCGGTAATGGCATGCAGCTTGTACGCGATTGTGATGGTGATAGGGTGGAGTGGGGGTACTTTGGAGAGCACTTCAGGGGTTGTGGCGATCATGAAGGGCGCCCCAGAAAAGAACTGATAACCTCGGAGCTTTTAACGATTTGAAATACATGAGATTTTGTTTGTGGTGCCACTACGTCGTTGCAACTTGGCCCGATCTTTTCAACAAGGCCAAGTCTGGGCGAAAAAATATGCTACAAGACCTATTAAAAATAGACATGCTGGGCATGGCTTACCAACATCACTACTGCAACAGGCGTTGAGCAAGTGTTCTTGGCGAAAGAGATATGACAATCGCAAGTCACGCCACATCGGCAGATTTGGTTTATTACTGGGTGGAAGAACCGAACCGCATAAGTTGATTGAAAGCCGAAAAATAGTGGATGTAAGTTGGGGGAAAATTTCAACCTCCTGGGGTGTACATGTACATGCCGTGCCAAGAGATATCTGTTGGATATGTAGGTGATTGCAAAAAAAAGAAAGTGATAAGCACTGGTGAAATGGACGCAGGGCGGTCAGCATGCTCCTATGTAAAGTTTGGAAACAATTTGGAAGGTACGGAGTACCTCGACTTGATTTACTTAAGTAGGTATCCCGGCAGTAGTAAATAATATCAGAGGATTTGTTGGCGTTGTCTCTCCGTACTTCGTAGCACCCGGAAGTATGTTAGGAGGCTGGAAAAGGTGGACGCCTGAGAGCCGCAGAACGGTAATTCAAAACTGTACTATGCCAGCACTAACGTCTCAATACCTAAAAGCACTTGCTTGCTGAGCGTAGAAAAACACATATTTTTCGGGTGTTTGTTTCTCGATGAAAAGTGGATTATGACGACTTTACCTTATTTCGATTTCCTTGTTTCTGGAGGACTTTGAGTAATTTCTCCGAGAGAAATGGGCCCAACCGTTTCGTGACAGGATTTATAACTCCATGCAGATCACTGGTCGACGAACTTCCCCACTCACCCCACTACCCGCAATGGCAGGTGGTGTCACCACTGACCAGTCGTTAGCCGCTCTCGTCCAAACCATCAGGGTCACATCTGGAAACTAACTTTTGCCGTTAATGCACACCTCCGTCCAGTACCTAACCACTCTGTTCGGGGCTTAACAAAATTTCAAGCCTCGTACGGGAGTGCGCATTAACGGCAAAAGCAAGTATGTATGGTTGGGTTGGACTGCGTTCGGAGCAAGAGCTTATGGAGGAAAGCTATTTTTCAAATAAATCGAGTACTTCGTCCGCATGTTTCTATTTTTTCCTCAGGAGCTAATGATGCCCGCCCACACACCGTCTCCTTCTCAGCACTTGTATGGACTGAGTTGTACTCCAGAGGGTGATAGGGATGTGGGAAAGACCAACGATGAGGTCACAAGACCAATACTAATGGGTCTAGGAGACATCCCTCACGACTTCGACCCAATCAAAGACCTTTGAAACTGGGAATAATGCGTGAGGCCAGATCTTTCTACAGCCCGGCCCGCCCATCCCAACTTGACCGAACGTTAGGCGAAGACGCTTCTACCAGTCAGTACAAAAGCTTATATCGTGCCACACCGACCAAAGCTTTCCAGGATGAAAACGCTATGGCCAGCTGCCCAAGGGGTTTCCCATTATTTGGAAAAGACGATTACCACCAGAAATCTACCGCAGTTCTTTCCGTATCCCCCAGTCCATTTTCTCGCGGTGAAAAAGCTTATCCGCCTTTTCATTTTTCTTACGAGATGGTACTCGGAGAGCTTTGAGGGAGAAGTGGTGCGATGCGCTGACGAGCCGTTCGAGAATTCGACTATGGTCAGATTGTCAGCAAAAGCTCCGATGCAACGGTCGAATGGACAATTCGTATCTGCCAAATGAAACCAAATTCCTGTCGTAGGCCCGAAGTAATCGTGATTCCAGAGCGCATGAGGTGCCGTTGCACGTATAGCAAATCACCGCAGGGAGAAGAGCACATTTCTCGCGTATAACTGCTGGTGTTCTGCGTGTGCGGCAAGCCAATACTTTTCCAAGGAGACGAGAAAGCAAAGGGGCAGATAGAAAGTAAGCCAAAACACACAGGAAAGGATTGAAGGGGGTCAAGTCGTTATTGAGTTGACAAGGCAGCAATTTTGCCTTAGATAGTGACAAATAGGCTAAAGATATCACGTGACTAAAGCCCCCTCTTTCATTCATCCGTGCCGCATGGAAAATGTTTAAATAGACGAATCTTGGGAAACCCGTCGACCCGACTCAAATATAGGTAAAAGAAAGCTTAATTAACTTACAGTTCCCCTGCGGAGTTTTCGGAATATGTATATCTTTAGATAACGAGCGAAAGTGTTTGACTAAAACCTTCGGCCCACTAAGACCCCCGATTTGGTGGAACTTCCAATTAAAAGACTAATAGGATTGTAAGCAAAGTAGCCTTTTATGTATCTAAGCTCGTTTTCTAAACATTAGTTTATGTAAACCTTTTCCGGAAACTACGCAGGGAGGGGCTGTGTAATATAGTCTTGTGTTTAGAGGTTTCCGCTTAATAGCGGAAACTTCTAACCGCCGAGGATCTTACTGTAATAAAACACTACCGCTCTCCCACTGAAGATACAACTTTTCCGGAAACTCCGCAAGGGGGATTGTACCTCGTATCGATTTTCGTAAAAGCTTATGGGATAATTTGACACTTTTTAACGTCTAGTGAATGTGTTGGAAATACATGAGATTTTACACGTCTGAGATGACATACCGGTAGACGGAATGTTTCGAAACATTTCGAGGCCTTGATGGCCTCGTTCTTACTATACAGTGTCACCTCCAAAAAGCGACGCGTATTGGCTTATTCGATTGTTTCTGCCGTGGCATATCATGTACCCAGACGAGTTGAGACAATTTGGAAGTTCTCGACCTTGCCTTTTTGTTTTTGATGGACGAGAGAGTGCGTGGACAACCCCATATTCTGTACAGCCACAATTTTGGACCTGTTTAGCTTACTTCTGTTCTAAATATACACTATACAAAACGATGTACATATGTACTTGAATATGTACCACTGTTTGAATAGTTCTGATTATTAAGGTTTTTAGATTTGTACTACTAAAATAAGAATATTAGAGATAAAAGCGCTAAGGGGCTTTTATCTGACCCCTTATAGAGACCCCTTATAGTGTCACTCATCCCTTATACAGTATTTTTATGTAGTAACCCTTGCATAGTACACCTTATGTCCTCTTGAGGTGGCAGTGATACCCACTTTGAGGATTAACTTCCGTAAACAAGCGTAAATTTAAGCATAAGTGTATCAAAAAGTCTAAATTAAAGCTCTCGCGAGGATCGTCTGAAAATGAGAATATACTAAACTAATCGGAATCTCCGTCGTCGTTCGAGTTTATCTCTTTGTGAATATCATCAGGGTCCCTTTCCCCACCCCTAGTTATAGTGCTAGGACCGGCGTAATTATGATATAGGTAAAAACAACGCTTACACAAGGGTACTTCGTAAATGTAGCTATTCTTGGGGTATCTTTCAACTATTTTAGGTGGGAGTCTATTTTGGGTACTTTATGGAAAGTAAGATTGCTTCTACTATTCTTGGGTATGGTGTATAATAATTGTTAAATTTGCGTCGTATAATGACTTGAGTTATATCAATTGCAAATAATACAGATCACTTCTTAATTGGAGTTTATATTTAAGTAAATAAAAGTTCCCGTGTTCTAGCATACCACTCATATAGTATTCCTCGTGTAGTGCCCCTTATATAGCACCCTTTATATATAATCCCTTATATAGTAATCCTGAACTCGGCTAGGCGACTGTAACAGATTTGATTCAGTGAATTCGAGGCTTGGTGTCGGGTAGATTTCGGGAAACAAGGCACTGTAGATAGATAAGTAGCACTTCTGCTTGGAGAACTCTTCTCTCCTCGCAGACAATCTAATCATACACCCTGACATATTGTCTGCCCTTTACTCAATTTTTGTCGTACGACAGGCATCGCCATCGTACTGCAAACACCTCAAGATGAGTACTAGCAACAACAACGGGTTCGAAGGATGGGCAGCCAATACCGGCTTGCCTAGCTTCCTCAACCCATTCACCTCGTCCACCTCCCGCGACAACCACCAGCTACCACCACCACCAGAAGGAGGTTACACGATTGAGCAACTTCGAAACCTCATCAGTAAACCTACTACTATTCCCAATGACCCGGATGGTATTCGTAACGCCCTACAAGACCTCCTCAACAAGCACGACCAACTTCAAGTCCAATACGCTACCTCTCGTCGCGACGAAGAAGAAGCAATCACAGACCTTGAGAGAGAACAGAATACGACCGCAGAGCTACGAAACCAACTTCACGCTATGCAACTTCAATTTCATACCACAAGCCAAGCCTTGAATCAAGCTCAAGCTCAAGCTCAAGCTCAAACTCAAGCCCAGCCTCAAGTCTATGCCCAACCCCAAGCTCAACCTCAGCCTCTACCACAAGTTCACGCTTACCCACCCC